GTTATTTATTGAATTAAAGGCACACCTTTCCTATCAGATTAGGATTGCAATCAGGTACAACCACTGTGGTAATCAATCTGGAAGTTCTTCAGAAAATTGGAAATAGGTCTACCTGAAGACACACCTGTACCACTCTTGCACATATACCCAGGAGATTCCCCACCATGCCACAGGGTCACATGCTCCACTTTGTTCATTCCAGCCTTATTTGTGATAGCCAGAAGCTGGAAACAACCCAGATGTCCCAAGACAGAACAAAGGATACAGAAAATGTCGTTCATTTATACAATGGAATACTACAGCTATTAAGAATGAGGACATCCTGAGTTTTGCAGGCACAGGGATCGAACTAGAAAATATCATCCTAAGTGAGGTAACTCAGACTCAAAAGGACATGCATGGTATGTACTTACTAATAAGTGGATACTAGCCAAAAGATAAAAAGAAAAAAGAAAAAAAAACACCAACCCTATAGAATACCCAAGATTCAGTCCACAGAACTCAGACAGGTCAACAAGGTGAAGGACCCAGGTGAGGATGCCTCAGTCCCACTTGGGGGCGGGGAGGAGAAGAAAGCAATCACAAGCAGAGCGTGAGGGAGAGACTTGGGAGGGAAAAAGGATAGGGTAGGGATGGGGGGAAGAGAGGAACATGATCTGGTATTGTAAGGGGGAAGGATTTCAGCCCTGAGGGCCAGCAGAAAGAATGGAAACAGGCAACCTCAGAAAGTAGGAGATTGGGAGGGGACCATCCAGAATGTAACAGAGACCTGGGAAGTGAGAGACTCTCAGGACTCAAAAGGAGCGATCTTTGATGAAATGCCCTACAGTGGGGAGAGGGAACTTATAGAGCTCACCTTCAGCAGAAAGACAAAGCATCAATGAGGGATGGAGTTGTCATCCTACAGTCAAAATTCTGACCCATAATTGTTCCTGTTTGAAAGAACTGCGGGGATGGAGATGGAGAAGAGCCTGAAGAAAAGAAGGTCGAGTGACAGGCCCAAAGTGGGATTCAGCTCAAGGAGAGGCCCCAAGGCCTGACTCTATTACTGAGGCTATGGAGCACTCACATAAAAGGACCTATCATGACTGGCCTCTGAAAGACCCAACAAGCATCTGAAAGAGTCAGATGTAGATATTTGCACCCAACCAATGAACAGAAGCTGCTGACCCCTGTGGATGAATTAGGGAAAAGCTAGAAGAAGCTGAGGAGAAGGGTGACCCTGTAGGACCAGCAGTCTCAATTAATCTGGACCCCTGAGATCTTTCAAACACTGGACCACCAACCAGGCAGCATTTACCAGCTGATATGAGTCCCCCAACACATATACAGCAGAGGACTGCTGACTCTAGGTTCAGTCAGAGAAGATGCACCTAACCCTCAAGAGACTGGAGGCCCCAGGGAGTTTAGGGTTCTAGTGGGGTAGGGGTAGGGTGGGTAGGGTGGGGACATCCTCATGGAGACAGTGGGTGGGGGACGAGGTATGGGAAGTGGATCAGTCAGAGGGTATACAGGGAGAGGAATAAAATCTTGAGTGTAATAGATAAATAAATAAATGAATGAATGGATAAATAAATAAAAGATTTAAAAAGATATTATGATAATATTCTGCAGAGCTCTAGAAGTCGAATTATAGTTGAAGATCCCTGTAACATTATTTGATATAAACCTTGCAAAAATTAATAATATATCTGCTCTACAAAGTGAAGGGAAAGTTCATAGTTATTATTCCTGTCTGTCAGGTATATCATATACTCAGAGACACAACACTTAAAAAAACTGATTTTCCCTTTGCCAGTAGGTATCAGTTACAAATATCTTCTTGCTTAGGGGAAGAAGCCTCTGTTGTGTGTTCGGGGCCCTATCTAGCTCGAACCTGTGCAAGATCTCTGTGTGCTACTACCATCTCTATGAGTTCATATGAGCATCAATCCTGTTGTGTCTGGAAGATGCTTTTTCTTTGTACTCACCCACTTCCTCTGGCTCTTAAGATCTGCTTTTCTCCTCTTCCACATAGCTCCCCGATCCCTGAGGGATGGGGTGTGATGAAGGCATCCCATTTAGTACTCGTTGCTCTACAGCTTCTCAGTCTTTGCACATTGTCCAGCTCTGGCTCTGTGTGTTTATTCCCATCTACTGCAAAAAGAAGCTTCCTTACTAAGACTTGCTGTAAAACTACTCTAAGAAACATAATTGAAATTGAAGAGAATAAGAGAGAAATAACGGAGATAAAATTAGCAGACTATAGTGGCACAAACCTATAGTTCTAGCACTGAAAGAGGTAGAAACAGGAGGAGAAGTAATTCAAGGTCATCCTTGACTACATATTGAGTTCAAGACCAGCCTATGCTATAAGAAACTCTCCCTTTAAAGGAAAAGAAAAAAAGAATAGGTTTTTTTCCCGTTTATAGATGGTCAAGTTGTTTTTAAGATGATATGAACTAATAGTTTAAGCCTTTTATGTTGAAAAATTGAAAGTTATTTAACAATATGAAGCATTTTTATAAGTTATATAATGATCTTCCCAAAATAGAATTTTTAAATAACTTCATAATATAACATATAGTACAATATTTTAAATTTTGATATATAATCATCTTTCTGTAACACATTGCTAAGTCTTTGTAGCCAACAAAATGGTAAATTGTGTCTTGATCATTAGTATTTTTCATTTCTGTGATATTAATATTCTCACTACTGTAAATGTCTAGGTACCAACATAAGTAGCAATATATGGAGTGATATTGACACAATAAGTGAAATAACTTAAGACGATAAAATGTCAGTCAGAAGTGATGTCACCTAGAAGTAAAGCATTTTAAGCTTTACTTTCGTTCTTAACATCCTGATCTGTGGATTAATGTAAGGGCATAATTTAATTACCTTATATAATCCTGGTTTTAATAATCAGATCATGACATTCCTCAAATACAGCATTTGTAAAATGGTATAAGTAGTTCATGTACATTACTGTGCAAGGAGATATGGGATATGGTATTTAACATGCTGCTAAGAATATTTACTACTAAATTAAGTAAAATATAAAGAATTGTATGTTCTAAGCAATTGACAATAAACATGCAGGAATTAAGCCCAGAAAAATATAGTTCAGTTTAGAAATTTTGTTTGATCATTTACTATTCCAACAAGACAAGAGAATTTAGAATCATGATTTGATGACAATTGGGAAGGATTATGTTGGAACAAGCTACAAACGGTTGGAACCAAGTATGTTATAAATATCTCTTCCAGCTTAGATATTCTGTGACTCTCTGACTACACCAACTGTAGAGAATATGAAAATATAGGACTGACACAGCTGACACTCCATAAGGTATTCCCATAAGGTATTCCACGGACAAATGGTGATCCAAGCTTAGTAGATTTCAGTAAAGAACCTGCTAATTTCTACTTCAATAAGTTATTTTACAAGATCCATAATTTTTCTAAAAGTGTAATAAATTTTATAAAAAAATATAGTAATGTGAAAAATAAATGACACAACTGGTTTGCACATGCTAAACTACATGAATAGCACACATGTCAAAAAGTGATACAAATATTTTTATGTGATGCTAATGAAAACACTTTATTGGAAAGAACAGAAAACTGGATGATATTTTTGGAATATTCAAATCATAGCAGGCACTTTTTACAAAGAGACAATGAGAGATGAAGTTACTTTCCCATGAGAATGTAGCCTAAACGAGAATTTTGCTAATCCTCAGTAAAAATGAAACCAAACCAGAATTAGAAGATATGTCTACACCTGTGATAGTAGTAAAGTGGTTCTTTCCTCTCTAGCTCCCAAAATGGTTTGATGACTGAGAGCCAAAATGCCTTTCGGATTGCGAGGCCAAGTGATAAATTGCTCTGCCAATGTGTTCTCCCTCTCCAAACCCATAAAAACCTTTCTCTGCACTCTAAGTGACAGTTGGTTGACACGTCTAGATAATCAAACCAGTACAACTTCTATTGGATGTTCAAAGCACTGTGCAAAGTGCTAAAGTAACTTGAGGATGCTCTTTGCAATGGAAGAATACAGTGTGGTCAACCACAAAAAACAACTGTGAGGCCCAGGCATGTCTTGTTTCTATTATTTCTTACAATTAAGAATGACTTCTCATAATTATGATTGATGATGTAGTATTATAGAGAATACATTTTTATAATTAATCTATGTATTGAAAAACGTTCTTTATTACATCTGTTTTCATATTCTTCCTTGATCTCTATAAAGGACAACATAATAAAGTTATTAATATTCTTTCTAAAACATTATAATTGCAATCTTTTGACTAGAACAGATATCCAGTGTACTGTTCTAATACAAAGATGTGAATACAAGCTCTAACTAGAAGTATAAAAGCAAAAGTTGAATAAATTAATTTGCTTAATTGATTTACAGTAAAACACCACATTCTGAGAACTTTTTTCTATCATTAGCTTAAATGTGCTACACTTCCTTTCAAAATATTATGTTGGTACATGCCTTCAATGTTATGTATGGAGCTATATTACCTATGTACAATACATACATACAAAATGAGGAGTATGACAAGATTGCATACATGCTCTAGGCAACTATTAGGTATCACCCATATTCTAGTCTACAGTATCTCTTTACTTGATAGTAGAATTCATTAGATCAATTCTCTTTAGAAGTCACTGGTGCCCAATAGTCAAATAAGATTCCAATTCAGAATGACAGTGTGTACGGATACTGAGTGAGACCAAGTCTCCAAATTAACCACCTTTGGATGAGAAAATTACAAGAGTAAGAAGGCCATTATGGAGAAAATGATGAGCCATAGTTTCTACCGTTTTATTTGAAGGAAGTTACTGGTAGCAGTTTTTAAGGCAGAGTTAACATTAGAGTTTTCTAGACTGTGCTTCTTTGTATTGGAACATAATGATCAACAGCAGCAAAGGAGCTACTAATAGTGTGAAGCTATAGCTTACAAAATCTGTTGGAATGCAAAATAAAAAAATATGGATGAGTGCTCGCTTTGGCAGCACATACACTAAAATTGGAATGATACATAGAAGATTACCGTGGCCCCTGCACAAGAATGACACACAAATTCATGTAGCGTCCCATATTTTTAGGACATCAAATGGAGGGATGGGGTTCACATCCCACAGTCTAAAGCCCTGACCCAGAATTGTTCCTGTCTGAAGGAACTGAAGGGACAAAAATGGAAAAGAGTCTGAGAGAAGGGAGATCCAGTGACAAGCCCAAATTGGGATCCAGCTCAAGGAGAGGCACCAGGGCCTGATACTATTACTGATGCTGTGGTGTGCTTGCAGACAGGAGCCTAGCATGGATCCCTTCTGAGAGGCCCAACAAGCAGCTGAAAGAGTCAGATGCAGATACTTACACCCAATCAATGGAAGGAAGCCAGGGACCCCTGTGGTTGAATTGGAAATAAGCTGGAAGAAGCTAAGGAGGAAAATGGAGGCTGGCCCCATGGGAAGACCAGCAGTCTAAACTAACCTGGACCCTGAGATCTCTCAGACACTTAACTACCAACCAGGCAGCATACACCAGCTGATATGAGGCCCCTAACACATATACAGCAGAGGACTGCCTGGTCTGGCCTCAGAGAGTGAAGATGCACCAAACCCTAGAAAGACTTGTTGCCCCAGGGAGTGGGGATGTCTCGTGGGGTGGGGTGGGATGGGAGGATGGGGACATCCTCATGAAGACTGGGGTAGGGGGTGGGGGGGTATGAGATGAGGAGCAGTTTGAGGGCAGATGTGAAGGGGGATTAAAAATTGGAATGTAAAGAAATGATAAAATAATAAATAAATAAATAAATAATACTGATGAAAAGATGGAAAAATTTAAATACAAGAAATTATTAAAATCCAAGTTATCTTTTTCTAAATCACTAAATTGTGCATAATTGTTAACATCAAGGATTCTTTTGTGCCTGTTAATAAGGAAGGAGATATATTTAATAAGAACTGCATCAAAAATAAAGAAAACAATCAAGAGTAGTGACTATAAAGGAAAAATAAACTCAAAATATGTTACCACATGTCTTTAAAAGTATCATATAAGAACTTCATACTGTTTAACCAAGACATTTTCACATTGTAAAGATTTTTCTGATGATATAAATATGTATAATGACAAAGTTAATACATAATTATTTCTTTAAAGTTGATAAAAATAAACATATCATTTGCAATATAAGGGTTGGACAAAAGGAATGATTAAATAAGTAATAATTCATTCAAAACTAAATCACCCTGCCTCTGTAAAAAGCATTATACATAAAACTGTATATCGAAGTATACTTTTCACATCTAACATTTTTTAGTTTATTTTTTTATGTATATGGGAATACTGTTGCTCTCTTCAGACACACCAGAAGAAGGCATCGGTGCCCATTACAGAAGGTTGTGAGCCACCAAGTAGTTGATGGGAATTGAACTGAAGACCTATGGAAGAGGAGTCAGTGTTCTTAACCGCTGAGCCATCTCTACAACCCCCTCATAGCAAAATTTTAACAGCAAACATTTTCTATCTAGGGTGATTTAGAGGTGTTTGGGGTATATATACACTTCATATTACTTATACATTCCCCTTATGTATAAATTATGCAGACAAAAATATATTCTGTATGCATCAATAACGAGAAAAAGTGGGGCGAAAATAGGATAAAGTACTGCAGTGGGCACATATTTTGGTGATATTTCTGACATTTGTTCTGTTTTCATCTGTCTTCTTGCCTGCATATTTTACATTGTATAGGCTTATGTATTATTGAATTTTACTGTAAACCGTATGGTTTATGAAAATTGACATTAATAGAAACAGGAAAGGGACTCATTAGATATATTGACACTGAACTTCTAAAGGACCCTGGAATCATAACCTAAGGCATATAGCCAGTTCTGGAATGAATACTTCATTCTAACTTAGGAATTCTTTAGGGTCACCTCTAAGTACGTTCTAGATGTGTTTTAACCTATCGTAGGTCTTCATTCAGCTTAAGAAAATACCAGCTCACTAAATAAACTAGGCATGAGGTTGTCTCGATGGTGGTAATGCTTTAAACTTCCCAGTGAGGGAATATGGTCTTCACTAACGTACAGAGGTTCACAGATGGGTATGTACATTGAAGTATCCAATGGGCCTGGGGTCTTCAGAAAGGTGCTCATCTACATATTTTGACCATAACCTGTCTTCCTTAGCATGGGAACAATTTCTGGTTTGAATTCACACTTCCAACAGAAGCTTTTTATTATTTAGTCAAAAGTACAGTGAATATAGAGTCTGAGGATTCGTTCATTACTTTTGTCCTCATGCTAAGCACACACAAATGTGCTCCTTCAACTTTGTCTCATATCCTTCACATTTCCTGGCCAAACTCTTCCCAGAGAGAAAACTAAGGAAGGATTGTACATGGAAAGACTTAGATTTCTTTCTGAGTTACTGCCAATTTTAAGATTTCAACTTTTTGAAAAAAAATTAGACTAATATAGTGGGCAAAGCCACTAAAACAGGAGGTCAGGCAACTGTTTCCCCTGTCGTTGAATACTATATGGGCTGCACATACAACTCAGCTAGAAAAATCCTGGTCTTACATGGAAGTAGTGAGTTATATCTCTGCCTGTTTGTATAACAGGGCCTGGAGTCTCAGCTCAGATCAGGAGTCTGTAAAGTATGGTGGTGTGAAAAGAAATAGCTCCAATTGGTTCATACAGTCCATTGTTTGGAAACAGGGAGTGGCACTATTAGGAGTTGTCACCTTGTTGGAGTAGGTGTGGCCTTGGAAAAAGTATGTCACTGGGGATGGGCTTTGAGGTTACACAAGCTCAAGACTAGCACAGTGTTTCCTCTCTTCCGGCTGCAGACTGTGGATCCAGGTGTAGAACTCTCAGCTTCCTTTCCAGTACCATGTTTGTCTGGCTACAGCCATGCATCCTGCTATAACAATAATGGACTAAAGCTCTGAACTGTAAGCCAGCCCCAAGTAAATGTTTTCCTTTATAAGAGGTGCTATGATCAAGGTGTCTCTTCACAGCAATGGAAACCCTAACTACAGAATAATGCTAATTCTCAGATAAATACTGTGTGGATATATTATTACGGTATATAATTGATATATTCAGTAAAGTGTGCTATTTTTGTTTTCATACTAACTAAATATGATTCCCTCTTGTACAAAAAAATGTTCCTGAATTACAGATAGACTGAATTTCTATCATTGTTATCCTTGCAAGTGATGGAAATAATTTCTAACCTGATCTTTATAATTAAGGTTTTGAAATACTAAACTGACTATGAAATTGATAAAGAACTATTTAGACCAGTCTAAAACATGTTTTGTAGAATGTGAGACTTTTGTTTTACAAACAGCTCAGCATTATTTTTGTCTAAAATAGACAAGGGGTACAACACAGAACATTTCACTTTGATAGAATTAACATATTAAAAACCAAGGAAAGATGTGACAAGGGTTCTCACCAGAGTGAAGTTGGTTTTATTAAGAACTTTCCCATTGAATCTGTTTAGCTATGACTGTGAGCCATGAATCCTATGTAATATTCTGAAACTGAAGAGAGAACAGAAAGGTTGTTTCTTTGATTAGATAGATAGAAGGATAGATGATTGGTAGATTAGATAGATAGATAGATAGATAGATAGATAGATAGATAGATAGATAGATAGTCCTCCAAATTCCAGTGGTGATGCTGTACTCTGTAGACTACAGTATCTACATTAGCACCTTCTTTCTATCATGTGAAAAATGTCTCCAGATAAGTTCAGCAGTTACACAAAAGAATACAAATAGAAAATCATGGGGCCTATGTGAAACTATGGAGTAATAAAGGAGAAATAGATGTCTCCATTATAAATGTCCCCTCTGTTGCTTTATGTGCTAAACCATTTTTCTCTCAGGTTATGAGGACTTGACCAATTCTTACTCACAACACTGAAACCAATTGAGGAAAAACTGATTCTATTTCAAGCCTGGATGGGCGTGGACTGATGGGTAGTTTGATGAAGGCAGTCATATGATGACTTTTTATAGGAAAACATTTGACAAGCTGTCAAAACTCTTTTGGAAAAAGAAATGGTGGATAGAATTGCTCTGAGGAATATGTGTCAATTCAGTTATCTTATTCCTGCATCATATTTTGATGCTAGTTGAGTGGTCTCTGTGGATCTTATGCTAGAAATTAGGTTAAAGGAAGACAGATTGTTTTTCAAGAATTCAATTAATGAAACAATGGTTACATTAATATCAGAAATTGTAAAATGTTTTATTAATTCTTTGAGAATTTAATGCAATCCATTTTGATCTTATCCTCCCAGTTCTTTCCTTTAACTCTTTCCAGTATGTTAAAATAAATAATCTAATTTTTTAACCGAGACTTGCACAAATTATTGATGGTACACAAGCACAAATAGCTTGGACAAATAGCTCAATGTAAATATTGTTTTTAAAAGGTTTATATTACAAGTGTTAAGAATCTGAAGGGGAAAATCTGTCAAGAAATAGCGAAAGAAAGATAATTCCTGAAAAGCAAACAAAACCCTTTAATCTGCCATCTGGGTACTGAGACAAAGAAACTGTCTTGTAGAGGATGTGCTGATCATATATTTATATGACAAGTCATATATATATACATATATATATATATATATATATATATATAGATATATATATATATATATTGCCTTTTTGAAAAGGTCAAATTTGTGCACATTATGCCTTTGTTGATATTTTTCATAATTTATTACTTTATAAGGAGTACTATTCAAATAATTTATCTTGACCTTGTGACTCTGCTTTTATTATTTTGAAAGTCCTTTACTTCACTGGGGTTCCAGCAGTGGTACAGCTACCCACCATGCTCTAACAAAAACTGAGCGAGAGTGTTCACACTGTGTCTTGAATGGAACACTGCTTTATCTGACAGACAGACAGTATCTACTTAACTGACACACAGCTAGGGAATATTTCATATAATAAACAAAACTTTCAGGTACCTTGTGACTTTTTTTCTGACGACTGTCAGTCTGTGCCTTCCTGGACATCACTCCCAGCATCCCAGAAGAGAAGCAGCACGAGGAAGCTAAACTAT